ACTAGAAAATGATCTAAGTCGCTACCTGTTGGGTGTTAATTAATTTTATGAAGCATTTTTTCCACAACAACCGAATTTAGTTGCGCTTACAGAAGTCGAGTTATGCAAAGCTTATAAATAAATCAAAAATATAAATAAATAGAAAATCTAATTTTTTTACTATTGGGATTCTCCCTCTGAAATGCTAAAAACAACGAAATTGACATCAAACCATCAAAATCTCGTGATCAGAGATGTGGCTTTATCAAACCTTTAATTGACACATTTAAAACTGAATAAAATAGTATAAAAACTGCTTCACCTTGGAGTTATGTTTAATTATCCACAAAATTAAGTGTTTTGTCTTAAGAAAAAGCACTTATTGTGGTGGAATTCAAACCACTTGGCATGATCCTGTATTTCAAAATAGAGAAGTCGAAGTTTATTTATTTATTTCAAATGGCAGGCGTTTTGATAGCCATCATTAGCCCTTTAATTGACTTCGAGCTTCACAGAGGGAATGTTCATCAAAGTAGCAGAAAGTCGAGGGGTGGGGAACAGAAGAGCGATTCACAGATGTAAAAGAGGCAGAGAGACACAAAGTCAGAGAAAAAGGTAAGATGAGTACTGTAAAGCGGTCGAATATGACAAGCAGTCGTGCCATGGTATTTTGAAGTCAGAAGTCAACTGCCGGTTAATAGACTTTTTTGCCATATGAATATACGTTGCCCAGGGTGCACCGCGTGGAGGTAAGTCTATCGCACACCCCTAAAACGCTTCACGATTATGCGTGTTATTCTTTTTTTGTAGGGGCCATGATAATCTTCTTTGTCTCGTTCCAATTTTAGCATATGTATATCCGAAGAGATAAATTTGACTAAGCTGCGGGTTGTGTTAACAAAGCATTTGGTTACTTGAAGAAGCAGTGATGAAGGAGAGAGAAAAATGAAAACGAAATTTAGATAGAAAGTTTTCCATTTAAACAAAACTAGCATTTTGAGATGAATCTAATAAAGTCGGTTTCTTCAAGTTTAAATTTTTTGTGTTAGAAAGTTATCCATTTAAACGAATCGAAAATTTTTAGGCGAACCTAATAAAGCCAAATAATCAATACACAGAAAAGCTCAAATACCTCAGAGTTAAGATTCTATTCTAAAATCATTAAAACCACGACGTAGAAATCTGATCACCAATAATCGTAAACAGAGACGTGGACTAATAAACCTTTAATTGACAACATTTTGTGAGGTAATTCAATATAATTTTCCAGTTGAGTCGGAAAAAACGTATTCCAATTTGCGCAATTTTTGAGTCTTCACAACATGCTAAATATTCGCCACGTGCAAATGCGTTTAAAGTCAAAGAATTCGAATTACTTGAAATGAAATGGTGTTTCGGACTAGAGAAGTCCAACATTGTTTCAAGGTTATGGAGGGTTGTTCACAAAGTGGTATAAAATTCTTTCGATTATTTGAAGAAGCAGTGAATCCTGAGGACCGCACATGAAAAATAATGCAAAGGAAAATAGAAGTTTAGAGGTTTCTATAGAAACGAAACTGAAATTACTCAAATTGTGCACTGTTGCAATTTTGAAATTTCGATTTCGTTCAGGTTGCTATTCCATGGGCTAAAAGAAGACCTCACTTATTAGTCAAAATGCTATCCAACATGCAGTTTCAAGAAATATCTCACATTGACAATGCTAGAGAATAAAAAATATGGTGCCACTGAATGAACCTGCTGAAGTTATGCATTTTCTAACTTTAATGCCAATAATAAATTTAAGAGTAAATTAATTCCCCTTACATTGAATTTTGAAAGTTTATTCATGATTTGAACAATTTTTTAGTATTCTGCTGTTTTTAGAGTATCTAGTGAAAACAAAGAGTGTAATTTGTGAAATTTTTATTGGATGACCTAATCCAGACACAACACTAACCAATTTATAAGAAGAAGACTTGACGTTTTCTTTAAACCAAAGTTTCTGTGGTAGCGATGAAGGCGGTTATAGGGCTCTAAATCGTGCATTTTGAGTAATAAAAGATTAAAATCATTGTGTAGAAATATACTTATCGTTAAAGAGTTAGGCAGATTACCTCAAGACCAAGATTCATGAGAAAATTGGAATCCCGAAAGAACACCAAAGATTGATTTATTGTGGCCAGCAGTTGGAAGATGATCGAGCTCTCCCTGACTACAACATTCAAAAGGATTCCACTATTCCATTGTGGATACGTACCGTTTCCACTGTCTTCCTTCTTCTTATGCTATTCTAAAATTCGCTTCCACTCGCTTTCGTCAAGTAACTTCTTTTTATTATTTAAATGAATATTTCCAATCAGGGGGTTTCATGAAATGCTGCTCAACTGCTCAAATTAGACCTCATTCTTAATGTGATGAGTGAATTACTATGTTCTACACTCTGAATATGTTGTTGACATTTGCAACAGCCTAAACTTATTTAAAGTGTTGATATCACCTAGTAGAACGCGAGGCACACTTGCGCCAGCTCGAAGGTTCGAAGGGTTTGTGTGCACTTTGATTTCTAACCCTTGTGATAAATTAGTCAAGAGTCTCTCTTCGTCCCTCACAATGGCAAATTTTCCCAGTGGCTTTAAGTAGATCTTATTGCAGTTAAATTTTGAGCACTATTTGCCAAAGTCTTGTCGTGAGTTGCCGCATATTTTTAAATCGGACTTTAGGTTGCACGTTTAGTTTGTCGGTCTCTTTATTCAATTGGCAGGCTGATCTATTAGTAGGCAGTTTCACATTCTTATCTTCCAATTTTATCGTTCACGCCACACCACTAATTTTCCATTCACTTTATCCTTCTCATTGTTGGTAATTTCAAAATCTCTCAGCCATGATCGGCCAACCAGGTTAAGAGTCTACCATGCTTATGGGAGAGGTGTTTATGCAAAACACAGTATCAAGTGCATCCTACTGTAGCACTCGCCTTATTCCAACTAATTTTGTTCACACGAGGGTACTAGTGCTCGAACGCTGCAGACCAAATTTCAATGATTCAACATTCATTCAGCCACCCCTCGTTTAGAAATTCTCAAGCAATCAACGACCCCATCACCAATAAAAATCCTAACATGCACAAAATTACAACAGCTCACTACTAAACACTAGAATTTTGACAGCATGTTGTATTTTTAGCATTTCTTATTAATAATTTAGTATAATTTTTTGAAGCGAATTAACACAGACGTATATTTAAAGATTGTGGAACAAAATTCCACTAGCAAGAGCAAGAACAAGATAAAAAGTCTCTCTTTTAGCAGTTTAGCCTGGGGATGCCCTAAATTTTCGCCTTCACATTCTGAATATTATCACTAGATTCCACTTCGACACTTATAGTTTTGCCAGCAGGGGATTTTAACGAAAATCTGCAACATCTGAAAAGGATAAATACAAAATAATATCAGTTAATGGTTCTTAAACTTTTTACTTTTAAATTCAATTTCATGTGCCTCCGTAACACCCTTTTCACATATTTCTATTGGTTGACAATTTCTAGTCTTCCTCTTTCAATCCTCCACATTCAATCGTGTTGCACACAATAAAGTCGATGATGTGCTAAAAATAGTCACCCTGTAATATGAGTTAAAATATTCTGTAGTTGACAGGTATGAATTCTGATTGTAGACTGGTCAATCTCAGTTAGATGCCCAATTAAATCTCCTGAGCCCAAGTTGTTTCTTGAATGGAACACTTAACCTTTGAAATGTTTTTCGCACAAATATGCAGGTTAAAACTTTAACTGAAAATGGTTCAAGTCACTACCAGGTGGAGGATAGTGAAAGGTGGGAAATCTATTTCGGTATGATCCGTAATTAGGTAAATCGAGTTAAGCTGGAAAATATATAAAGTTCATTACTAAATTAAAAAGCTTAATATCTTAAAATTTTGATTCAAACAACGACGACCTTGATATCAGACCACTGAAAACCCGTGATCAGAGAGGAGGCAATATTTTTGGTAGATGATTAAATAATTAAGCATCCCTTCTGCTCTAGCCACACGCTCTCATGAAATATCTAGAGTCCGGACACCCAGAGCATTAATCTTTCTGAATGCTACTGAGGGCACTTTGCAAGACCTTGGAGATGGCCGAAGAGGTACAAATGTACAAACATATGAAGATCCAGGTTTGTTACAGGGTGATCAATTAAAATGGGCGGAATTCGTACGATTGAAATGGAAACGACAGTCAATTGTCAATTATTGCCAATGTGAGTATAGTTTTTTGTACATAACAGATAGAAACGCCTAAAGTACGTTTTATCAATGCTTGGTCCTGGAAATGGTGGGTAAAAATAGCTAACGTGTAATATGTACTTAAGTATATTGCAGTAGGTCAATACGTATTCCGATTGAGGACTGATCAACCTCGTTTTAAGAAGGTAAGATTTAGAGGGTTAATAAAAACACTTTGAACCCTCTGTGTAAATGTTTGTAATTGAGTGTTGGAGTCACATTCAATGGTCATTTTGATTGATTAAAATTAAAACGAAAATATATTTGATATTAGTTCGAGAGAATAAATAAAACTAGAAGTGGAGATGAGAGAGTGCAAATGGTGCAGATTGTGCCACGTTTAAAGATGACAAAGCAAGTGGTTAAAATATGCAGGTAAATTTCCTCTAAGAAGTATTTGAGAAAACAACAAAAATGACGAAGATGTGCCCTAGAACAATTGATTACTTGAGACTAATGACAAGAGTGTGGCATTCGAAAAGGAGTCACAGGAAGATGACTACTTGCACTCATCCAATAAATTTAATGAATTGAGCACTTAAGAATTGACACATTCCTCACAAAAATATGCAGGCGAATATTTGCACTTGAAAAGGATTTATATTGGCTACCAGTTGGCTGCTAATTAATTCTAGCAAAATATTTTCCGTATGAAAAGATAAATCAGCTGATGACTACGAGGTTATGTATAAAAGGAGGAATGGCGAGCATAAGGACTTATTATTTTACACACTTCGTTTCCATAAGGTCTAGTGATGAAGATCTTCATAAAGAGTCTTACTGGCCGACTTTGTGAGCTCGAAGTGGAACCTAGTGATACAATCGAGAATGTAAAAGCCAAGATTCGAGATAAGGAGGGAGTCCCACAAGACCAACAAAGACTGGTTTATGCCGGCCAGCAGTTGGAAGATGGACGCACTCTTTCTGACTACAAAATTGAAAAGGAGTCAAGCTTACAGCTTGTTTTGCGTCTCTGTGGTGGTATGCAAATTTTTGTGAAGACCCTCACCGGTAAAACAATAACTCTCGAGGTTGAGCCGAGTGACACGATTGAGAATGTGAAGGCGAAGATTCAGGACAAGGAGGGCATCCCCCCAGATCAACAACGACTCATTTTCGCTGGTAAGCAGCTGGAAGACGGACGTACTCTATCTGACTACAATATCCAGAAGGAATCTACTCTCCATCTTGTGCTTCGTCTTCGTGGTGGTTTTAGTTCCACAAACGTCGTAGTGCTTTAATTTAATATTTGTGTTGTTTTGCTTTGAAGAATTCTATTGAATTTTTAATTTGGGTTTTTAATTAGCTTTGCCAAGAATACAATTTATTATCCATATGCTAGTTATTCAGTCATTGGTGTGGTAGTGGGCTGAGGTGGGATCAGGAAAGTGTTTTTTTTGTTTCTGTTGTTTATTGGTGGAGCTAGAGTCGGTTGTGTTTACTGGGGATTATCTGATAGGAGTGAGTTGGATGGAGGAGCCGCGAAATTGTCCCTTTGATGGGACGCTAGTACTCCGATTGGTAACGAGAATTATTAGTGCTTTGTTGTCGAAGCTTTGAACTACCTAAATTTTGTTCTTCGGCTCTGCTCAAGTGAAAAGCTCTTCATTAAAGTGAACATAGAAGGAGCTTTTTGAGACTTGTTAAATGGCGACAAACGGAACTTCGTTGACCTAAATGTAATTGCCTACCAAAAACTATTGAAAATGGTTTTGGACATTAGTGAGGACAAATTCGGTGTCAGGGGCATATTAAAATAAACGGTAATCTTATTCTTATAAAGCGACTAAGAATCATTTTTGTCGAAGACAACCCAGATCAAGGCTGTTTTCCGATTTGTCATAAAAATGAAAATGGAAATGCATGTCTACTTAAATGATGTACAGTAGTAGCACACAAAAGTTGAATTTGCACTTGTCACTTCTCGAACCCCCTTTAACAATTTAATTAATTGTACGACTTTTAACCATGTGATGTTAATAATGTGGTCCAGTAGTATACGAAATGTAAATGAACAAACATGATACCCTAAGTGGTCATTTTCGACCTCCAAGTTCTTGATTTGAACAATTTAACTAAATAATTTAGAGTTGAGATTCTATTCAAAAATCCTAAAAACCACGACCTTGAAATGAGACCACAAAAAATCGTGATTAGAGAGGTGGCTTCACCAACCCCTTATTGACATTATATTACAATTGAATTGAAAAACATAAAACTACTTCACATTGGATTGATGTTTAATTATTCACAAAATTAAAGGTTTTGTCTTGAGAAAAAGAGCATTTAATGTGGAGAAATTCAAACCACTTGGTATGATCCAGTATTTCAAAATAGAGAAGTCAAAATGGATTGAACTAAGCTGTGGGTTGTGTTAACAAAGCATTTGGTTACTTGAAGAAGCAGTGATGAAGGAGAGAGAAAAATGAAAACGAAATATAAGTGTAAATTTTTGTGTAAGAAAGTCTTCACAACATACTAAATATTCGGCACGTGCAAAAGCGTTTAAAGTCAAAGAATTCGAATTGCTTGAAATGAAATGGTGTTTCGGACTAGAGAAGTCCAACATTGTTTCAAGGTTATGGAGGGTTGTTCACAAAGTGGTATAAAATTCTTTCGATTATTTGAAGAAGCAGTGAATCCTGAGGACCGCACATGAAAAATAATGCAAAGGAAAATAGAAGTTTAGAGGTTTCTATAGAAACGAAACTGAAATTACTCAAATTGTGCACTGTTGCAATTTTGACATTTCGGTTTCGTTCAGGTTGCTATTTCAGGGGCTAAAAGAAGACCTCACTTATTAGTCAAAATGCTATCCAACATGCAGTTTCAAGAAATATCTCACATTGACAATGCTAGAGAATAAAAAATATGGTGCCACTGAATGAACCTGCTGAAGTTATGCATTTTCTAACTTTAATGCCAATAATAAATTTAAGAGTAAATTAATTCCCCTTACATTGAATTTTGAAAGTTTATTCATGATTTGAACAATTTTTTAGTATTCTGCTGTTTTTAGAGTATCTAGTGAAAACGAAGAGTGTAATTTGTGAAATTTTTCTTGGATGACCTAATCCAGACACAACACTAACCAATTTATAAGAAGAAGACTTGAAGTTTTCTTTTAACCAAAGTTTCTGTGGTAGCGATGAAGGCGGTTATAGGGCTCTAACTCGTGCATTTTGAGTAATAAAAGATTGAAATCATTTTACCAAATATACTTATCGTAAAAGAATTAAGGAGATTACCTCAAGACCAAGATTCATGAGAAAATTGGAATCCCGAAAGAACACCAAAGATTGATTTATTGTGGCCAGCAGTTGGAAGATGATCGNTATTCTAAAATTCGCTTCCACTCGCTTTCGTCAAGTAACTTCTTTTTATTATTTAAATGAATATTTCCAATCAGGGGGTTTCATGAAATGCTGCTCAACTGCTCAAATTAGACCTCATTCTTAATGTGATGAGTGAATTACTATGTTCTACACTCTGAATATGTTGTTGTCATTTGCAACAGCCTAAACTTATTTAAAGTGTTGATATCACCTAGTAGAACGCGAGGCACACTTGCGCCAGCTCGAAGGTTCGAAGGGTTTGTGTGCACTTTGATTTCCTAACCCTTGTGATAGATTTGACAAGAGTATCTCTTTGTCCCTCACAATGGCAAAATATCCCAGTGGCTTTAAGTAGATCTTATTGCAGTTAAATTTTGAGCACTATTTGCCAAAGTCTTGTCGTGAGTTGCCGCATATTTTTAAATCGGACTTTAGGAGGCACGTTTAGTTTGTCGGTCTCTTTATTCAATTGGCAGGTTGATCTATTAGTAGGTAGTTTCACATTCTTATCTTCCAATTTTATCGTTCACGCCACACCACTAATTTTCCATTCACTTTATTCTTCTCACTGTTGGTAATTTCAAAATCTCTCAGCCATGATCGGCCAACCAGGTTAGGCGTCTACCATGCTTATGGGAGAGGTGTTTAGGCAAAACGCAGTATCAAGTGCATCCTACTGTAGCACTCGCCTTATTCCAACTAATTTTGTACACTCGAGGGTACTAGTGCTCGAACGCTGCAGACCACATTTCAATGATTCAACATTCATTCAGCCACCCCTCGTTCTCAGAGAAAATTTGCCTGCAGATTTCGACCACTGTTGTGATTATCCTTAGACTTATCACAATTAGTGCTATTTGCATTCTCTCAAATCGAAGTCTCAGTTTATGTCTTTCCTCAAACAACTTTCATGTCAATTTTGGCGCTGTATTAAATCAACTGAAATTTTGATTGAATGTGACTCTAAGGCACTTTCTTACCACGATTATAAACACTTGAGGCAGAGGGGATTAGGAGATTTAATTAATTATCTGAGGGTTGGCCACTTAAGACAGAGGTTGGTCAGTCTGAAATAGTTCTTCCTACTGATATTCTGCAATATGCTTAATTGCACATTACAGGTTAGATAATATAGTCCACCATTACCTTGATCAAACTTCGAGAAAATGGAGTTTGTACATTCCTTCTTCTTATGCTATTCTAAAATCCGCTTCCACTCGCTTTCTTTAAGTGACTTCATTTAATTATTATATCGATTGCCATATTTTCACATGCAAATTTTTGCCTGCATATTTTTGTGAGGAATGTGTCAATTCTTAAGTGCTCAATTCATTAAATTTTTTCAATGAGTGCAAGAAGTCATCTTTCTGTGACGCCTTTTCAAGTGCCGCACTCTTGTCATTAGTCTCAAGTAATCAATTGTTCTAGGGCACATCTTCGTCATTTTTGTTGTTTTCTCAAATACTTCTTAGAGGAAATTTACCTGCATATTTTAACCACTTGCTTTGTCATCTTTAAACGTGGCACAATCTGCACCATTTGCACTCTCTCATCTCCACTTCTAGTTTTATTTATTCTCTCAAACTAATATCAAATAAATTATCAACCAAAATGACCATTGAATGTGACTCCAACACTCAATTACAAACATTTACACAGATGGTTCAAGGTGTTTTTATTAACCCTCTAAATCTTACCTTCTTAAAACGAGGTTGATCAGCCCTCAAATGGTATACGTATTGATCTACTGCAATATACTTAAGTACATATTACACGTTAGCTATTTTTGCCCATTTTAATTGACCACCATGTAACAAACCTAGATCTTCATATGTTTGTACATTTGTTCCTCCTGAGCCATCTCCAAGGTCTTGCAAAGTGCCGTCAGTAGCATTCAGGAAGATTAAGGCTCTGGGTGTCCGGAGTTTAGATATTTCATGAGGGCGTGTGATTGGAGGAGAAGGGGTGCTTAATTATTTAATCATCTACCAAAAATATTGCCTCCTCTCTAATCAGGGGTTTTCGGTGGTCTGATATCAAGGTCGTATTTTTTTTTAATAAGATATTAATCTTTTTAATTTAGTAATGAACTTTATATATTTTCCGGCTTAACTCGATGCACCTAATTACGGATCATAATGAAATAAATTTCCCACCTTTCATTATCCTCCAACTGGTAGTGACTTGAACCATTTTCAGTTAAAGTTTTCACCTGCATATTTGTGCGAAAAATTTTTCAAAGGTTAAGTGCTTCTTTCAAGAAAAAACTTGGGCTCAGGAGATTTAATTGGGCATCTAACCGAGATTGACCAGTCTACAATCAGAATTCTTACCTGTCAACTGCAGAATATTTTAACTCATATTACAGGGTGACTATTTTAGCACATAATCGACTTTATTGTGTACAACACGATTGAATGTGGAGGATTGAAAGACGAAGACTAGAAATTGTCAACCAATAGAAGTATGTGAAAAGGGTGTTACGGAGGCACATAGAATTGGGTATATAAACAGAAAGTTTTAAGAACCATAAACTGATATTATCTTTGTATTAACTCTTTTCAGACGATGAAGATTTCGGTCAGAACTTTTGATGGCAATACTAAAGAACTCGAAGTGGAACCTAGTGATACTATTGAGAATGTGAAGGCGAGGATTCAAGAGAAAGAGGGATACCCAATAGAGGAGCAAAGATTGATATATAGTGGCAGGCAGTTGGACGATGGTCATACTTTATCTGACTACAACATTTCAAAGGGATCTACTTTGCAGGTGTTTTTGACTCAAATTTTTCAAATTTTCGTGAAAACTGGCGAAGGCAAAACAATTACCCTCGAAGTTGAGAAGAATGAATCAATAGAGAGCGTGAAGGCGAAGATTCAGGCAAAGCACGGCGTCTCCCCAAAAGTAATACGACTCGTTCATTCTGGTAAAGATATGGAAGATGGACATAAACTTTCTGATTACGACGTAAAGAAGGGATCGAGTCTTTTTATTTATCTTCGCGTTCCTGGTGGTATTTTGTTCCACAATCATTAATAATATGTTTGTGTTAATTCGCTTTGAAAAATTATTCTAAATTATAAATTAAAATAGCTAAAAAATACAATATGCTGTCAAAGTTCTAGTGTTTAGTAGTGAGCTGTTGTAATTTTGTGCATGTTAGGATTTTTATTGGTGATGGGGTCGTTGATTGCTTGAGAATTTCTAAACGAGGGGTGGCTGAATGAATGTTGAATCATTGAAATTTGGTCTGCAGCGTTCGAGCACTAGTACCCTCGTGTGAACAAAATTAGTTGGAATAAGGCGAGTGCTACAGTAGGATGCACTTGATACTGCGTTTTGCCTAAACACCTCTCCCATAAGCATGGTAGACGCCTAACCTGGTTGGCCGATCATGGCTGAGAGATTTTGAAATTTACCAACAGTGAGAAGA